CCCCAAAACCCCAAAACCCCAAAACCCCAAAACCCCAAAACCCCAAAACCCCTCTTGTTTCTATAAAATTCTTTAAAATAACAAATAATCAAACAATGGAACCTCTTTTCCCAGATAGCAATGATTCAGGGGAAGCCTCTAAAAGGTAATTTAATCAAAATCCTTAGAAGAATACACAAAATTTCTTAACAAAATTTTCTTGCAATTGACTTAAATTTCTGAACAAACCTGAAAGAGATTTTAAATGGTGAACCATACTAGAAACGAATTTGCTCACACATTTGTTTAGGTTAAAGATTCTAACGGAGAACATCACTTACCTGGAGAAAGAAAATGAAGACCTACGCGAACGGGTGTATGATCTCGAGAACTCCCTTGGTATCCACAAGTCGATCATGAACGAACTCAGTGATGATAAGAAGTTTGACCCTCAAGCTCGTTACTTCACAGAGCAGCTCAACCACGAGAGCGAGCTCTTGCACAAGAAGATTGAGAAGCTGACCAGTGACAAGTCAGACCTCCGCTCCCGACTCGTCATTGAAAAGCAAATGGAAATCAGGGACTCTGACCAAGAAGGCCAAGAGGTCAAAGCTCTTAAAGAAGAACTTCTAGAGATGAGGCAGAACCTTGACCGTAAAGAGTACTTGCTTCAGTACTGAGAAGAGCGCAACACAGAAATGGAAAAGCTCCTTAAGAAACGAGCACTTCACGATGAATACATCAAGAAGAGGCTCAGCCATCTTTCGATCGAGCCCAACAAAGACAGAACTATCAGGAATGTAGTCGAAGATTGCACCGCTCTCACTGAAGAAAATGAAAGACTCAAGAGAGATAACAAGTCACTTAAAGAACAGCTGGATTATGCTGTGAGCAACGCTGGAGACCAGAACCCGAATGAAATGACTGTATTCGCAAACAACATCAAGCCGATTCCGCAGTTTGAAGAACTCAACAGGATCCGCGACCAGACCAAGTCCAAGGAGCTTTACATGCGCAAGCTCGAAGAAATGCTGAGGTCAGCTCTGCAAAAGTGAGAGAAGTTCAAAGATGACTTGACGGCCTCCAAGAGCGAAGTGTCGCTGCTCAAAGAGCGAGTAGAGTATTTCGACCGTCTAAGCACCAAACTGCGTCAGGCTCTAGTAAAGTACAAAGGCAAGTGTGAAGACCTCGAATCACGGATCAAAGACCAGGGAGTCAAAGTCTGGGTCAAAGAGAACACCGGCTGTGCCAGAGTCAAGCCTGCATCTGCACTCCAAGGCGACAACTCACAAGAAGAAACCAACTACAAAGACATTGGGGATGAAGACATCGAGCTTGACCTCGCAGTTGCTGGCGAAGCTGGAGCACCAAACGACAAATGTGAAGCCGAAGAAGTGCCTGAAGACGTATTCGCACCTAAAGATGACTCCATCGATAAGCACAATGAAGGACCCGGTGGAGCTCCGCCTGGGTTCGGGTTCATTGACCAGACCACCATTTTGGTAGACCCAGAAGCAGACGACCATGACAGTGCAGATGAGGACCTCCACGAATAAACTGGTGGTGCAACACACTCCGAATGTGCATTGACTTTAAGAGATTCTATAAACTTTGTTAAGTATGGTTCAAGAGTTTGCTTCGAGATAGGGGTTTTGGGGTTTTGGGGTTTTGGGGTTTTGGGGTTTTGGGG